TTTAATTGATATGACGGGATTGGCTTATGGAAATCAATATCAAGGCGCTTATCCATCTCCTGGTGGTAGTGATGAATAAGATGCATGACTAAATTTGTCAAAATCAATTGGGTGAAATATATAAAAATTTTTTAAATTTTATGAATGTTTCGATAAAAAACCAGCCAACAATTTTTTCATTTGTTTTTAATTAAACGCATAAAATGGCTCTCGAAGAAAAGGAAAAGACGATCTGGGATCAAGTTGAGGAAGATGGTCCTGATGATCTCGATGCTGATATCATGAAGTCCAGCACCGAGGACATCAATAAACGTACGCGTTTGCTTGAGAATGATATCAAGGTTAGTTCCCAATGTCTTTTGGAAACTTTATTATAACTTTATTTAATGAACTAGGAATAGCATTCCTTGTTGCGATCTAGGTGATCGTGAAGAAATTATAGTGCGGTCGTGACTTTAATACAGCTAACTTTCAATTGAAGACAGTTATTTCTTTCAAATGGCACGATTTTTGCTTTAATTTTATTTAGCCAGTTAATTCTTTTTAATTAATTTCGAATCGGTTATACAGATGATGAAATCTGAGCATATGCGCTTGACACACGAACAAAACAACATGAAAGAAAAGATAAAAGATAATAAGGACAAGATAAAGGTCAATAAGCAATTGCCTTATCTTGTAGGTAACGTTGTTGAGGTACGTTTTAAAAAACTTTATTTATTTTTTTTTTTTGCGTTTACCTTGATTAGTTTTATCTCATTTCTAAAGATTCATTTAATATCAGTTGCTCGATATGGATCCAAACGATGAGCCCGAGGAAGATGGTGCCAATGTTGACCTCGATGCAGTTCGAAAAGGAAAATGTGCCGTCATTAAAACCTCAACTCGACAGGTACATGAGATTTCATTATCTTGGAGAATGAATTTTTTTATTCCGTGGAGATTTGTAGAAGTATTATCTTGTATTATTTTTAGACAATTTTCTTGCCTCTAATCGGTCTCGTTGATCCAGCTACTTTAAAACCGGGAGACTTAATCGGTGTAAACAAAGACAGCTATTTGGTTTTAGATACATTACCCGCCGAGTAAGTTAGTTTAATAAATATTTCGAGTATATGACTATCGAAAAATTTTAATAGCTGACTAACCTAATGTTATTTTACAGATATGATTCACGTGTTAAAGCAATGGAAGTCGATGAGAAACCGACCGAAGACTATAATGACATTGGTGGTTTAGATAAACAGATTGAAGAATTGGTGGAGGCAATCGTATTGCCAATGACACATGCTGAAAGGTTCAAAAATTTGGGTATTAAACCACCAAAAGGTAAAACCTTTTGAAAAATTTTAAAAAAATCCTTATCCAGAGGGTTCATTTTATTTATTATTTTCAGGAGTATTAATGTATGGGCCACCCGGTACCGGAAAAACATTACTGGCAAGGGCTTGTGCGGCTCAAACTCAATCCACATATTTAAAGTTGGCTGGGCCACAACTTGTTCAGGTGGATATAATTTTTTTTTTTTTGATTGTAAATCTTCTCATCGATATTTAATCTCCCTATTTTTATATGAAGATGTTTATTGGTGATGGTGCCAAACTTGTTCGGGATGCCTTCAACTTGGCTAAAGAAAAAGCGCCCGCTATTATTTTCATTGATGAATTGGACGCCATAGGAACAAAACGTTTCGATAGCGAGAAAAGTGGTGATCGTGAAGTACAAAGAACTATGTTGGAATTGTTGAATCAACTTGACGGTTTTAGTAGTGATGAAAGAATAAAAGTTTGTACTTTGATATTTTTAATATACGTGTACATTATAGATGGTAGAGAATTCTCAAAATAGTTTATACATTATAGGTAATTGCCGCTACAAATCGTATTGACATTCTGGATCCTGCGCTTTTACGATCAGGACGTCTTGATCGAAAGATAGAATTTCCACTTCCAAATGAAGAAGCGCGTGCACGCATACTTCAAATTCATTCACGTAAAATGACTGTTAGTGCAGAAGTCAATTATGAAGAATTGGCACGTTGTTGTGATGAATTTAATGGAGCTCAATGTAAAGCGGTCTGCGTAGAAGCCGGTATGTTGGCTTTGAGGAGAGGAGCAACCGAATTGAGTCATGAGGATTTTATGGATGGTAAGTTTCATGTGCACCGTATTAATATTGAGTTGTTGAATTATATTTTAACGTGTTGTCCAATTATTCAACAGGTATTCAAGAAGTGATGGCAAAGAAGAAGACATCTTTACAATATTATGCTTGATGAAATTTTTTTTATTTTATTTTATATAAACTTTTTATATTATACTAATTATGTCGTCACACAAAAAACTTTCGTTATATTAAAAATTGATTGGATCCTATAAATTTTAAGCCACCTATGTTTTTAATAAATAGATCATTATCTCTTAGATCATTTTCACATGTATAAAATTTTTCGTTTTACAAACACCACCATTTCAAGCAATTTATTCTATCGAAATCAATTTTTTGTTCGAAATAAACCTTTTATACGACTACGAACGACCGAAATGACTAATAATAATAACACTATTGATATAGCTGGAATTAAAGTGCCTGTAACAGCAGGACAACCTAATATCGACGTTACTACTGTTCTTGAGTTTAACCCTTTTAAAGATTGGATTTCCGCTATATCCAAAGAAACCCATTCTGCGAAAAAGAAAGAAATTGAAATTCGAAAGGTCGAAATACAAAATGTAGATTATTTTGGGCCCAGAATAGGTTTTGTTAAATTTAAAGTTGACGCGAGATTAATCGAGAATGGCCAAAGTGTTCCCGGAATAGTTTTTATGGTTGTTAACAAAGAATTAAAATTTTTTATAAATTTATAATTAATTATTTTTTGGTCAATCAATGAATTAAATTCGAATTTGTAGAGAGGAGGTTCTGTAGCAGTTTTGTTAATCCTTCGTTCTAAAGATCAAGATGATAATATGACGGAACATGTTGTATTAACTCAACAACCACGTATAGCCGTTCCTTCCTTTGCATTTTTAGAGATACCTGCCGGTAAAAAATAAATCAAAAAATTTCTTTTGAATTGATCAAAATAATAATAATAATTTTTAAAATACATTTTTTTTTTAGGTATGCTTGATGGATCGGGCAATTTTACCGGAAAAGCAAGCGAAGAAATTAAGGAAGAAACAGGTATTATAATTAAAGATCAAGATTTAATTGATATGACGGGATTGGCTTATGGAAATCAATATCAAGGCGCTTATCCATCTCCTGGTGGTAGTGATGAATTTATAAGGTTATGTTTGTGTATTAAGGATATGAAAAGGAGCGATGTAGTGCAGTTGGAAGGCAAATTAGGAGGACTGAGAGATCATGATGAAAATATTGTTGTAAGGTTAACAAAGTTGAGTGAGTTGTGGAAGATTCCGGATATGAAAGCGTTATCGGCTTTGACTTTGTATGAGGCTTTGAAGAGGGAAGGAAAGGTATAAAGGTTAATATCCCGACTTAAAAAATTTCCTTACAAGCTTTCAATCTTTCTAATAAAGTTTATTAAAAAAAAAAAAATAATTTAGAAAGGACACGTATCATGTGTTATGAAAAATACACATTTTAGTAGATTTATATCAAACTTATAAGAATAGTAAAATTATACCAAAATCTTATTAAAATATCTTATTTATTAATAACACAATTATTTATAAGTTAATTAATTATAGTTAATAAAAAATTATTTTATCATTTTTTTTTATTATTAAAAATAAAATATATAACTCATTTTTATTAAAATTCTTTAGATCAAATATTTGATTTAATATATTTTATAATTTGATTTTAATAAAATTAAATTAAATTAAAAATTCTAATATTTAATTTATATTAAATAAAATATTATATTAAGAAAGAATTCATTTGTATATTATTTATTTTAATAATAAATATTTTTAATTATATAATTAAAGTTATAATATTATTATAATCAGTTTTTTAAGATGCTTATAAATGATAAGCAAAGCGATATTTTTAAATGGTAAGCAGAAGGTTTATTTTATAATTGGTTTTAGAAGAATGTTGATCAGTTGACAGTTTATTTAATAATAACAAATAAGTATTGCCTCAGTCGACGCTTTGTATTATACAAGTATATTAAAGAAATTAAAGTAAAACTATCTAAAGAAAATATGAATCAAACATACTAAATACAAGATACACTACTAGGATAAAAGAAATTGTCTTTTATTTATATTAAATAAAATACATAAAATTAAGGTAATAAAAGAAATAAATATAATATATGAGATAAATATAATAAAAATATATAGCATAAATAAAATAAAATAAATAAATAAATATATTGTATAAAGGAAATATATGTCATAGATAACAAAAAGGATATATAAGATATATATGATTTCCTAGTGATCAACATCATCCTTTTGATCATTATCATCTATGTTTCTTTTGTATAATAATATATTATTTTTAAAAAATTTTCAATTAATTTATTTTTTTATTTTTTATTTTATATTAATATTAAAATATTATATTACTAATTTATATAAAAAAAAAGTTAGAAATATAAATTTATATTATATATTAGGTAATTTCTATTTATATATAGAAATTTGTATATATATTATATGATTTGATTAATATTAATATTATTTTCGTCAGCATTAAGAAATTAAAAATTAGTCATAAGGTATAATAAATATAATAATTTACTAAAAAATTTTAAGTTCTTAAATTCCTAAAATAAATAGTAAAAATTAAGGCAAATGAGTGTGATACTAGTAACAAATATATTTATTACATAATCCAAATATATATACTTATCTTCTTCAGTATTGTCATAAAAATTCTACTCTTATATAACTTATTAATTAGTATTATGGTATGATCCGGTGCAAAAAGATTAATACACTAATATATCTATAAAAAAATTTTTTTTAAAATTTAATATGAATATTTAAATTTATTTATTAATACTTCAAGTTTTAAGATATATTTCAATATAAATTTTATTAAAGTTTTGAAGATATACAAAAAATTTTACTAGTTATCAACTTCTTCAATTTTGAAATCTTCATAATCACTTTCAACTTATAAAATATCATCATTTAAATCTTTATATTCTATGGCCTTATTAAGACATTTTTTCTAAAACTCAACAATAACTTTAGAATTAACATTATCTTTAAATGCTTGCAATAATTTGTCTCTAATAGTAAGAAGATTAGTATGGAGATCAGTTCTAGCAACCACACCTTTTACAATTAACCAAATTCCCTCAATTGGTTAAAGTTCACAATGGTAAAGTGGAGTATAAAACAAATTGTGACCATACTTATTGGCTATTTAAACACACATAAAAGGAACATTAGGTTTATTTTGTTTTACTAATTTATAAAGTTCTACTCTACTAAGATTTTCTGAAATGTTAATGCCTGCTGATAATAACCATGTGATCATTATATTCTTTCTTGAGTTTGATGTCAGTACTTGTTCAATTTGATGTTTGTAATACCTAGCACCATCCATGTGAATTACAACTGATCTATAACACTCTTTAATATTAGCATAAAGTTTATCAAAAAGATCTTTAAATATTTTAGCTATAAAATTACCATGATAATCAACATTATTTGCCACAATATTTGAATTTCGAATAATATTAGAAATATTAGTCCATTCATTGGCATTTGCTCGTTTTCTTCCTCTAGAGGAAGGTGGTTTAATTGATGGATCCCATAATAAAAGAGAATTAGGAATGATTTCACCAAAAAGCTTATTGGTATTACCATTACGTATTACAACAATTGCAACAAAAATAATAATTAGAGATCTGTACCCAACTTCATATACAACCCTATGATTTGGTATCCAAGTACGACCTGTAGTATGATGTAAATGGCAATAAGACTCATCTAAAAATACCTCCAGTTTAGTTAGAATCTTGTTTCCACCTTGTAAATTTTCAAACTGACGTTGTAAATAAATATTACGAAAGATCACATTTTCAGGTGATTCATGTAACATATTTTAACGTTCACCACGACCATAATAATATCCTAACATATGAAGTAAACGAAGGAGCTGCTATTTTGAAAAAATATAACCATTTTCTTCAAGCTTCTTTCGTAAAATAGGTGTTAAAAGTGGTAAACCAGAAATATTAGAGGAAATGATAATACTATGAATAATTTCAATCAAGTCATGATTAAGCTCCTTTTTTGGTTGACCAATTTTTGGTGAGGATTCTCCAGATTTACTTTGATTATATTCAGCAACTATTCGTACAATTATTGCTTCTCCAATATCAAGAACCGCAACAACCTCCTTGCGTAGTGATAAGTCATAAATTTTTTTTTGGCATTGTCGAATACTTAAAAAATGTTGGTAAACATGAAACACCATTTTTTTTTATTGCTAGTTAAAAAATTTCGATCTTGTTCTAAATTTTCCATGAGAAAGAAATATGATTAAAACCGGTTATAACTTTGAAATTAAAAACTATTCTTACCTTATATATAATTAATTCACCCGCCGGATTTGATTATCAAATCTTGTATCATAAGAGAAATTTGTGTAATGATTTTAGTATATCAACCTTTTTGCACTGGACCATATTAAGAAATTAACTATATAACAAATAATAGCATAACAAATAATATTTTATTTATCAACAAATTCTAAGTTTTCAAAATATATAGTAAAAATAAAAAATTAATAAATATAATGCAAGGTAACAAATATTTTATTATGATCATATAAGAATAGATATTTTGTAATAATACTAGGAAAGATACATACAACTATATAAACTTAAAAGTTTTTTATATATTATTTAATTTAAATAATCATGATATTAGAAATTTTAAATAAATAAAATATTAATTAAATATTTATAAATTTAATTATTTTTTAAAAAATATATATTATTATATATAGTAATATAAAAAAAAAAATAATAATTTTGATTAAAAAAAATTATATATAAATTAATTATATTAAAGAAATAATTAAATATAAAAATCAAAATTAATTATTTTTAAATATTATTATTTTAAATATTTTTTAAATATAAAAAAACAAATAACAATCATAATAAAGAGATAATTTTAAATATATTAATTATATTATTTAAAACTTTTTTAATAATAATATAATCACTTTAATTATTTTACCTACAAATTTGTAAACAATTATATTTATTAATTAAAATTATTTTTAATTATTTTTAAATATTTTTAAAATATGTTATTAAAAATTAATACTTTTATAATAAATTTTATAAAGTTTTCTAAGTAAAAATTTAAAAATATACATTTTAATATGACAAATCTAATAAATTTAATTTCATCTTTTTAATTAAGATATTTTAATTTTTTTAATATTTTATGAATAATATTACATTTTAATTTATAATTTATTAAAGCTATAACCTATTAAAAAACTTTTAAATAATTATTAAAAAAAAATATAAAAATATATTAATTTAAAAATTTAATAAAGTAAAAAGTTTATAAGTTCAAAGTAAAATAAAAATCCAATAATTTTTTGATAAGTTTTGAAATTTTAATATTTTATAATATAATAAAACTATTAAAAAAAATAATAAATAAATATAATATTAATTTTTTTAATAAAATCTACTACTTTTGAATTTTATAAAAATAATTTAAAAAATCATTATATATATAAAAATGCTAATAAATTATATTATAAATTATATAAAATCAGATTATAAGAAATTTTAACTAAAATTAAAAGCTTAATGTATTTTAATATAATAATATCAAAAATTAAAATGCAATAAAAATCTTAATTTTATTAAAAATTTCTAAAATCTGATTTTTTTAACAATTAACTCATATAAAAAGATTATTAGAAAAATGAGATTCTAGAAATTTTATTTTTAACTAAAATAAAATCTTATTATATTTTAATCCAATAAAATTCAAAATTTTATTAAAAATTTCTAGAACCTAATTTTCTTAACAAATATTTCATATGATATAATATCTGTAATTTAATATTAGTACAAATTTTTAAATTAAATCTATATAATTAAAATTAAAAATAAATTAAAATAAATTATTATAATAAACAATTAAAATATTTTTTATTTATTATATTATACAGTGGTGAGCAAAAGAAACGCAACCACTATTGGTTACCTTTAAAAGCTTATAACAGGTTAACTATGGGGGCT